TATATATATATATATATATATATATATATATATATATATATATATCTCGTAATTCACTTTGCATTGTTATTTAATAAAAATAAACAAATAAAATTTAGCAGTGCACGTTGAGAAAGCGTTCATATCCTGAGCGCGTGACGCCATCGCGTGGCCAGATTGCGCAACTGCAGGATCATTCTGTGTTCACTGTTGCTAGGCAACGCATAAACGACCCGAAAACTATTCGGCTACTTTGTTAGCCGAAACAAACTACTGCTCGTTGCTGCTCTTACTTCTTGTAAAACATGTCAAGAAATAAGCCAGAGGATTATGTTAAACAAGAGAGGTTTCAGGCCGAGATGATTGAAAAAGAGCTGAGACTGCAGACACTCCGCACAGAGTTCACCTTCAACCCACTGCGGAAAGGTAAGAGAACATGTCCGCTATTAAAACACACTTTCAAAAGCTTTTTTTAGTCATGTTCAGTGACTTTTGAACTGGACAAAACGTACAGATAAATGTCAAGCAACATATATGTATTTATATATATCCTAGTTCACATCCTCCCAGATAAGCCCATGTCCCGGAGAGCAGCTGAAGTAAAAGTGGACCGTGAGTTTTCTTCAAACTTGGAAAAAATAATTTGTTTCTTTTGCAAAGTTTTTTTTCTTTTTCCATGCATTGTTTCCAGCTAAAATTCTTGAGGTGTATATAAGAGCTGAGAAGGAACCGAACAAGAAATATCCCCATCCCATGACAGAAAGTCAGGAGGTTGGATGGATACCAGCTCCACTGGTGAGGAAACCTCTGCATGCATGAAATGTGCTCTCATTTGTTTAAGCTGAGTTAATAAAGTAAGATAAATAAATAAATAAATGCAAAGCTAAAACCAACAAACCAAGAACTACAAAGGTCAAACCAGTAAACAGTAGCCAAAAGCTAAATTTATTAAAACAGCAGCTAAAGGCTAAAAATGAAGTAAGCATGTTGATGTAAGGTTTCTAAAGGTTTTCAAGTTTTTCAATCATTATAACAAGAACAATAACAATAATCTTAAGAAAGTTAAATATTTGTAAAATTACAAAAACTATAATAGCTGTAATGTCCTGAACAAGTTGAATATTTCAATACCTTAATGGCTAAAGTAGCTGAAAGTATACTGAAGCTGTCGGTGCAAAAACCAGGAAATTATATATATATATATATATATATATATACATATATACAGGTCCTTCTCAAAAAAATTAGCATATTGTGATAAAGGTCATTATTTTCCATAATGTAATGATAAAAAATGAAACTTTCATATATTTCAGATTCATTGCACACCAACTGAAATATTTCAGGTCTTTAATTGTTTTAATACTGATGATTATGGCATACAGCTCATGAAAACCCAAAATGCCTGTCCCAAAAAATTAGCATATCATGAAAAGGTTCTCTAAACAAGCTATTAACCTAACCATCTGAATCAACGACGTAACTCTAAACACCTGCAAAAGATTCCTGAGGCTTTTAAAAACTCCCAGCCTTGTTCATTATTCAAAACCACAATCATGGGTAAGACTGCCGACCTGACTGCTGTCCAGAAGGCCATCATTGACACCCTCAAGCAAGAGGGTAAGACACAGAAAGAAATTGCTGAATGAATAGGCTGTTCCCAGAGTGCTGTATCAAGGCACCTCAGTGGGAAGTCTGTGGGAAGGGAAAAGTGTGGCAGAAAACGCTGCACAACGAGAAGAGGTGACCGGACCCTGAGGAGGATTGTGGAGAAGGGCCGATTCCAGACCTTGGTGGACCTGCGGAAGCAGTGGACTGAGTCTGGAGTAGAAACATCCAGAGCCACCGCGCACAGGCGTGTGCAGGAAATGGGCTACAGGTGCCGCATTCCCCAGGTCAAGCCACCTTTGAACCAGAAACAGCGGCAGAAGCGCCTGACCTGGGCTACAGAGAAGCAGCACTGGACTGTTGCTCAGTGGTCCAAAGTACTTTTTTCGGATGAAAGCAAATTTTGCATGTCATTCAGAAATCAAGGTGCCAGAGTCTGGAGGAAGACTGGGGAGAAGGAAATGCCAAAATGCCAGAAGTCCAGTGTGAAGCACCCACAGTCAGTGATGGTCTGGGGTGCCATGTCAACTGCTGGTGTTGGTCCACTGTGTTTTATCAAGGGCAGGGTCAATGCAGCTAGCTATCAGGAGATTTTGGAGCACTTCATGCTTCCATCTGCTGAAAAGCTTATGGAGATGAAGATTTCATTTTTCAGCACGACCTGGCACCTGCTCACAGTGCCAAAACCACTGGTAAATGGTTTACTGACCATGGTATTACTGTGCTCAATTGGCCTGCCAACTCTCCTGACCTGAACCCCATAGAGAACCTGTGGGATATTGTGAAGAGAAAGTTGAGAGACACAAGACTCAACACTCTGGATGAGCTTAAGGCCGCTATCGAAGCATCCTGGGCCTCCATGACACCTCAGCAGTGCCACAGGCTGATTGCCTCCATGCCACGCCGCATTGAAGCAGTCATTCATGCAAAAGGATTCCCGACCAAGTATTGAGTGCATAACTGAACATGATTATTTGAAGGTTGGTGTTTTTTGTATTAAAAACACTTGTCTTTCATTGGTGGGATGAAATATGATAATTTTTGGGACAGGCATTTTGGGTTTTCATGAGCTGTATGCCATAATCATCAGTATTAAAACAATTAAAGACCTGAAATATTTCAGTTGGTGTGCAATGAATCCAAAATATTTGAGTTTCATTTTTATCATTACATTATGGAAAATAATTACCTTTATCACAATATGCTAATTTTTTTAGAAGGACCTGTATACTCTGTGATCGGAAGATGCCGGTTCAACTCCTGTTACCGACATCAAAACCTGGATGGGATTGGTGAAGCACCCACACCTGCCTCCACCCTTATTTGCCCCACTCTGAGCCCTTGAGCAAGGCCTTTAACCCCCACCATCTGCTCCACCTGGCTGCCCTTGATGGCAGCTCTCTGCTCCACAGAGGGCTGTGGTAGCATCTTGATGGGCATCCAGAGTAAAAATAATTGCCAAGTCTTCATGTGACTTAATTCGCTGTGGTGACCCCTGAAGAAGCAGCCGAAAGAAGAAAAAACTCTGGTGGTCAAATCATTGAATGAGTCTGTTCTCATCACATTTGTTTCTGTTTTCCTTCTTTTGACTGCTGCCTTGCTCAGGGGTCGCTCCAGCAAACTAACTCACACAAAGATTTAGAAATTGTTTTTACATCGGAGGCCCTTCCTTCCTGAGGCAACAATTGTGTAGAGCAGAGGCACCCGGGGGAGCAGATGGTGGGGTTAAGGGCCTTGCTCAAGGGCCCAAATTGGGGCAAATAAAGGTGGTGTGGGTGCTTCACCTTTACCGCTTATATTTTGATGTTGATCCAGCGAGTCGAACAGACGCCACCACATCATACGAGAGGCTTAATTCAGTTTTTATTTTCATCTATACAACTGTCTGATTAGGTTTTGAAAATAAACACGAACTGTTAGAAGTTTTGTGAATAGATGGGGGAATAAAGAAGCGAAGATTTATCAATTGTGTTTTAAATATCACATTTTGTTTTGTAGGGACATTTAATGGATATAATAAAGCTACTAATGAAGTCATATAAAATGGGCTCATTTCACTTAAACCAGCTAGATGTTTGTAAAGATTCTTATTCTGGATTAAGTTCAAAAGGCGGCGAGTGGATTTGTTTTGTTGACACCGCTTACCCGAGCTTTGATCAAAACACTGACATATAAATCTGATTGAATAAGCAAAATGTCAGCTAAACTCGTCGCCTTGTTTTAAAACATTTAGGGGAAAAAAAAAACAGCTATGTACATATAAAAAAGGCCAATGATTTAAAAAAATAAACGTCCATACTCATGAATATTTTTTGTCTTTCCCTCTAGGATACATCCGACAGTCACAACTGCATATTTAATTTCCGTCGATTTTCCACAGACGTCACCCGATGTGAAACATTTGCTCTGCGAAAGTGATTTCATGTTTCTGTTTGTTGAATTAAAATAAAAACATCAGCACAAAGTGACCATTTTTTCTTCTTTATTAAGTAAACCACACGTTTAGACAAGCTGCACACACCGTTACATACTAATCACATTAATGACTGGGAAAGGGCAAAACTGACAGCAGCTCCATATTACAAAATGTCACACGGGTGGAGACAATCTATGAGTCAAGGAGCAGTGTAGGAAAATAAACATATCCCAAACTCAAAACACGGTTGGAAGGCTTGTTTAGATACTGATGTGTCATGACAGGAAGTGGCATGAAAGCCACCCTGTCCAAAAGTCTGTGGAGACGTTGTGGATTAATACGACAGTTTCTGCGAGGTGTAAAACGATTTTTAAAAGCTCAATGCAGTTCAGGTCTTCTTTTTTAATCTCGACAAAACGCCTTCCTTCGTGTGGCTCCAGCAGTTTACAAAGTCCTCCATATTGAACGTCACTTACTGAGATTATTAAAAACTACAGAGAAGAACCGACTCCTGCGGTGCTGTGGAGACGGACTGAGAAAAAAGTTCTGCTCAAAAACAAAGTCCGAGTTCAGTCCAGTTCTACGCGCGTCCCTTCATCTTCCTGCGCGCCGTCTTGCCAGGACGTTTCTGTGAAAACAGTTCAGATGGTTTTGTTCAGAAACAAAGTGCTTTCCTCAAAAATGTTTCCACTTTCAATAAATCCGTCAAAGTTTTTAAATGTGACTCACATTTTGTTTTCCTCCTCGGCCTTTCCGCCCTCCCTTCTCCCCCTTGGCATGAGCCACTTTGCCACGGAAACTGGAAACATCGTTATAACTCTCCTTGGTGTTCCATTTCTTTCCACTCTTTTTGCCTCCAAAGCCAAACTTTTGGTCCTTGTATTTTCTTTTAGCACTGGGGCTGCCAAGATATAAAAATATATAGTTTTGGTCCAAATGCCACAATTACAAGAAGGAAAAAAAAAAGTCACCTTGACATTAAAGTCCACAGAATAAAGAGGCAAACCCCCCAAAACATAACTCCTTACCCTTTTTTGTTTGGTGCTTTCTTTGAAGCTCCAGAAGAATCTTTAGCTATTTTCTGGTCACCCTCCAGAAAATCTAACTTGTCAGTCATGCCTAAAAGTTAAAAAAAAAAAAAATCTGAATGCTTCAGAAAATGGTGAATTGTTATATTTGAGAACAATGTAGCAGTTATGTCCTCATGTCTGTGCCTCAAAGAAACAAAAAGTGTAAAGTCTCACCTTTCTGATATTTCTTTACAGCAGACATCATCGCCTTTTTCTCTTTCTGCCTCTTCTGAATCACCTCTATTTGCACCTGTCAGACCATCAGAGTCAGGTTTTTTCTTATTTTGGTAAATGTTTCAAATCTAGGCCTGTCACGATAACAAATTTTGCTGGGCGATTCGTCTCAGAAATTATTGCGATAAACGATAATATTGTTTGAAATTTGGCAATAATTAGTAATTAATGTCAAATTTAAGAAGAAATGTTGATTAATTTTGTGTGCAGTACCGTTTTTTGACCACCGGGTGGCAGTATAAGACTGAATCGAAGATGGATAGTGAGTGAGCGAGATGCGTGGCTCTAAGAAAAATGGGAGGGAGTCCCCTTGACGTGACATGGGCTGTCTCTCTTTCCTTTTTTTTTGGTTCTCAAAATGGCGGACGCTCTGTGTGGTTTGAGCTCTTTAGCATAGCATTTGTCACACAAAGCTTTAAATAAAAAAAACAGTAAACAAGTTCTCAGCTTCTTTTTGCAGAGAAATACAATTTTTTAGACGAAGGCACGGCTTTGAACTGTGAGTTTTGGAGCTTTGACAAGATGGAGGGTTTTCCCCGAGGTCGGTCTGTTAGCTTAGCTCGTAGCTTAGCTGCTTTTAACGATCCAAAAATGCAATTTTGGATCGTTAAAACAGATTTTAAAGAAAAGAGAAAGGGAGGGGTCAGAGAAGAGCACCCGAGTAGAGCCTTAAGTCATCCAGTGTCTTCAGTAGAAAGAGAGAGACAAGAAACGATAAAACCGATAAATGATAACGAGGTCGATAATTTTCGTTTATCATGCGATTGATGTATTGTTTATCGCGACAGGCCTAATCAAATCATTTGGTAATCTATTTAAAAAAATGAAGTGTAAGGCACCAACCTTTTTGCCAAACTTCCTTTGCTCACGCAGTTTCTTGGCTTTTTCTGACTTCTCCATATTCAGCTGCTTTGAGATCAGCTTTTGTCTGATCTATACAGAAGAGGAAAAATATGAGATCAACAATTAATATTATAGAAACTGCTTGGTAGTTATTGGTAATTATAAGGAACAAAAATAGAGTAGTTGAGTAATATATATAGTTGTCAAATGTGGTGAAATGTATCTGCTGGAGGTCTTTTTGAAGGGCTCATGCAAGAGTAAAAACAATACAGTACGCTCACTATTCTGCTAAATAAAATGATATGAACTGTGATTTATCAGTCAAACCATTCTTGTGTAAAAACGTGGTGTAATGTTGCAGACACTGGTAAGGAAATGTTATCTCACCTTCTGCATTTGCTGATCTGATTTGGCCATCTGTGCAAAGTAATCATCAGGCCTCTTGGTAGCTATATTGTGCATTTTTAGGAGAGGCAAAGCCTCCAGCACTGTAGCTTGAGCTTGACGGTAGCTGTAAATAAAAACACAAAAATAAAACGGTAAAATTTATGGCAAGCGTTGCAAAAAAATAAATTTTAAATTTCCCTTCATTTACCGAAGTAGTGTTCACAAGTGTTTGTTTTTTTATTTAAATGTACTATCTAGCCATAGATACTACTAGCCATCTCCTCTGTGGTCCACACTGCGCTCAACCACCTGGAGCAGAAAGACTCTTACGTCCGTATGCTCTTTGTGGACTTCACATCTGCCTTCAACACCATGATCCCCCAAAACCCTGATGGACAAACTATTCACACTAGGACTAAGCAACTGGATACTAGACTTCTTAAACAGACCACAGTTAGTGAGGATCCACAACTTCTCCTCCTCCACCAAAACCCTCAGCACTGGCTCTCCTCAGGGATGTGTGTTGAGCCCCCTCCTGTTTACTCTGCTCACGTATGATTGTGCAACTACCCATCCAGGCTGTCACATTGTAAAGTTTGCAGATGATACAGTGGTGGTGGGATGCATCACAAACAATATGAGTCCAGCTACAGGCAAGAGGTGGAACAACTGGAGAGCTGGTGCAGAGAGAATAACCTTCACATCAATGTGAAGAAGACAAAGGAGATGATTGTGGACTTCAGAAGGAACAAACACACCTGCACCCCCTTGAACATAAGAGGATCTGCGGTGGAAGTGGTCTCCAGCTACAATTACTTGGGTGTACACATGAATGACAACCTCAGCTGGAGCAACAACACCACCAGCCTGATCAAGAAAGCTCATCAGAGACTCTACTTCCTCAGGCGGCGGAGGCGAGCTGGTCTGGGAAGCTCAGTCCTCACCTCCTTCTACAGGTGTGCAGTAGGAATGCGCGATATATACGGTATACGGTAGAAACAATGGAAATTTAGTCTACGATATACAAACCGGATTCAAAAAAGTTGGGACACTAAACAAATAGTCAATAAAAACAATACAATGATGTGGAGATGGCAAATGTCAATATTTTATTCGTAATATAACATAGATTACAGATCAAAAGTTTAATCTGAGTAAATTTAACATTTTAAAAAGGAAAAATGTGTTGATTCAAAATTTCAGTGTCAACAAATCCCAAAAAAGTTGGGACAAGTAGCAATAAGTGGCTGGAAAAAGAAAACTGAGCATATAATGAACAGCTGGAAGACCAATTAACACTAATTAGGTCAATTGACAACATGATTGGGTATAAAAA